TGTTGACGCCAAGCCCAAGGACCTGCAAGATAATATAGCCAATCTGGACTTTTTGCTCCATGTTGACTTACCGCATTCTTTAGTTAGCTGTTTCCCGAGTGCTAGAATCTCCTGCCTAAGGGACTTCACGCCCCCGGGAGGCAAGGGCTGCAAATGACATACCTATCCCTATCCCCCGCCCCCAGACACAACATGAAAATTAAAAACAAGACGCGGCTGACTCCACCCGGGGCTAGGAGCTCCTACAAGAACCACACGCAGCAGCGGCACCCTAAGTGGTCGCTACGTGCCAGGCACCACGCCGAGGGCTCCACAGGCATTGTCTCGTGCAGGGGTCGGCTGCGATATCCACTTCACATATGGGGAAACAGGTTCAGCGGACGGCAGTGACTTTCCCAAGGTCACCGGGCCAGGGCAGTGGCCTGGCTGAAGCCGGAGCCCCCCCCCCGGTGTGTGTCTGTTCCAGGAGTCAGGCTGGCAGGTCAGGACAGGACCCTCCCTCCTGGGCTGTCAGGATGTTTAAAGGCCGGGACATCGCAGCCAGCGGCAGGGTAGGGCCCGTGGACAGTTATTTTTACTTCATGCGCGGTTAGTGTCACTGCGCAGCGAGCGAAGTTGAGAGAGTCCCCGTAAACGAGCGGCCCCTCCACCCAGGGCCACCGTGGAGGGGGTCCCCAGGCGGCGCAGAACCCCGCGGCCACTCCTCCCTAGGCTGGGCCTCTGTCCAGCGCCGGCACGCACGAGTCCCCTCGACGGTCCTCGTACTCCCGCCTCCCGATCGGTGCGGACCCCACGCACCCCGTTGCCCATCCCTACCTTCTTATGATAGAGCCGGGCCGGAGCTGACAGCTCCCGGGCGGGCAGGCGCGGGCTCCGGAGCAGCAAGGCCGACGCAGCTCGCCTCAGACGGCCCGCTCCCGCCGCCGCCATCTTGCCGGCTTGCGCCTGCGTAGGCCAAGCGCGAGGCCAAGGGGAGGGACGCGACCGCGAGCTTGGAGGGCGCGCCTTGTACGACGTCACCGCGCCTGCGCGCCTGCGCCCTCCCGCTCCGTGCACGTGCCCGCCCCTTGACCACGCCCCCCGGGGGGAAGGCGGGGCGCGGAGCGGGAAGGTCTGGAGTCGCAGGAGGGCTTGTCCTCGGTGCTGGGCTCTGGATGGAAAAGGCGCTCGGGCTGGAGCGCAGGACCCAAGTTTACGCCCACAAAGCCCACCGTCGGGATACGGAGCAGGGGATGAACCAGTCCACCTTTCCTAACCCTAACTTACAGCTAAGGCCTTTCCGTTTCAGAGCGGTTTAGTAACTTGTCCAGGCTCGTTCAGAGTTAGATTCACTTGGGATTCAAATTCGGACAGTTCTGAGTTAGAATCCCGGTTTTGCGCCTTCCTGGTTGTGTGACCCTGGGCAAATGACATCAGCTCTCTAAGCTTCGATCTCTTGTAATACTACAATTCTAGGACGATTCTGTCATTCCTGGGCAAATGTGCGTTGAGTACTGTGAGTCAAGGCTTTGGGGACCCAACGGAAAGAAAAACAGACGTAATTCCTGCCTCATTAAGCTTGCTCGTGAAGGAGAAAGGCAATAAGTAGACACACCTGTACTTTCCTACCTCAGAATGGGAAGCGTAATTAAGAAGGACTCGAACACCGTGTCCTGATTTTGTCTATGTTTGTATCTATTTCTGTATAGACCGTAAACTCAATTTATGTGGCAATACCTGGCAATTGAGAGTTTCTAATTAAATGCTTAGTAATGTAATTTATTAATACTGGTTTGCAGAATTTGATCTTATAAAACGAGGAAACTCACACGTGTAATTTAGCCCTTGCTTGGAACCACGCGTTACATAAAGGGGAGGAATCTTTTGGGAAATGGATTTTTCTCATGAATGGTGCAATCGACCCCTGAGGACTGGGGTTTTCTCTGCGTTTGAGGATCAGTTGCTGGGGATACTTGAACCACGCGCCAGGTCACACTAGGCAGCGAGTAGGGCATTGATTCCCAGAATCATCTTGACCTTCTCAAGATGGCGGCAAACCCTTAACTGCGGTCATCACGCTCCCTCCGTGACTTCCTGTAATGGCCCCCACTTCCTGTCCAAAGCCCCAGCTCTGTCCGAAGTTGAGGCGGATCACATGCCGTGTTAGGGAGGGGTGTTTTTTTGGTCTCCCGAGAACTTTTACAAGTATATAAAAATAACACGAATTGGGCGTGTTTAGAGATTTCCCCGTCATCCGAGGCTCACGTTTTCCCTTCAGGTGGCAAGAGAGCGAGTTTTGTTTTTTTTTTTTATCAGGCGCGCGCCGCGGACAGCTTCTACTCCAAGGGGGTCTTCGGCGGCCCAGTGAAAACCCGGGAGTCACTGGTAGCGCAAGATGGCGACGGCGGCCGCAGCCTCCGCTTCCGAACCGGAGGCCGAGCCCAAGGCGGGGCCCGAGGCTGAGGGCGAGGAGGATGAGGTTAAGTCGGGTAGGACTAGGAGCAAGGTGTTAACGCGGGCTGTGGCCGCTGCCACGTACAAGGCCATGGGGCCAGCGTGGGACCAGCAGGAGGAAGGCGTGAGTGAGAGCGATGGAGATGAGTACGCCATGGCTTCCTCCGCGGAGAGCTCCCCCGGCGAGTACGAGTGGGAGTACGACGAAGAGGAGGAGAAGAACCAGCTGGAGATCGAGCGGCTGGAGGAGCAGGTGCGCCGGGGCTGGGTGGGTGCGTGGGTGCGGGTGGGCAGCGGGCGCCTACCCTCAGGCTCCTCCTCCCCGGGCCTGAGCGGTCGTAAAGCCGCAGAACCGCTAGGAATCACCGGAGCTCCCATCCTCGGGGCGCTCACCGCTTGCCTGGTGCTTTGCGAGGCTTATCCCATTGAATCCTCGCAGCGACCCAGCGGGGCGGCAGTGTATCCCCCGTTTTGACGCGAGGAAAAATTCTCCTGCTCGAGGTTATGCTTCTTGCAAGTGGGGAGTCGGGCCTTGAACGCTGAACCGACTTCCCAGCTCCCACCCCCTGACCGCGGCGCTCAGCTATGTCCAGCAGCGGGAATAAAAGCCTTTTCATGGGGGGGGGGG